AAACCAGGAAAACCACTATGATTTTCTGAATCAGCACAAAATTTTATCTTAGAAAAAGTAGTTTTGGTTCAATGAGGAAATTCTTGTAAACTAGTGTCATTAGTGACACTAGCCGCCGATACAAGAGATTCTCGCCTCTCGTCTCGCCTCGACGAGACAAGAGAGCGATTTCCTTTCGGAAAAAGGCTCGAGACGAGACGAGGGAATGCCCTCTCTCGTTTCTCTCGATCTCTCTCGTTCTCTCGATTTTCCGGTAAAAAGTAAACAATGCGCATGAGGAGCGCATGCGCATTATTCCAAATTTTTTTGATTTTCTCAAAATATTAAATCGATTTTAAGATTCCCGACCTCCAAATTTCAAATCTTGCCAATTAGGAGATCGTCGAAACGTTTTTCTGACCAAACTAAATGGACCAATGAGAACATTATTCGCATTTCATAATAAATAAAATTTGTTCCTGGTTAACGTCTTGTTATTTTATAACACAACTACACAACTTAACGTTAACCAAGAAAGAAATACGTAAGCACATATATGGCACTCCTTATACTATTAAAAAAACCATAAAAAATTCAATAAACTTATCAACAACATGTGGTTTTTGAGGGGCTGATTACAAATTTGATATCCATTTCTTCAATAAATAAAATAGCTGATCCAATATGACGAAAATTTGTCGTTCGGCTTTAATGGTTTGAGTAAAATTTAGTATCTATAGATATTTATGCGGTCTCTGATTAAGAATTTGATATCCAATAAAAAAACTAAATTGCGAATTTAAAGTGACGGACATATATGCGCAGTAGATACAAGATGACCTATGTGGAGTGGTTACATCTAGTATACAGGCGCAGTAGTTTTCAGATGATTTGATCCATCCATCCTACTGCGCCTATATACTAGATGTAAGTACTCCATATAGATCCAACCCTTTGATTCAAATGCGAGACATTTTTGGCGTAAAAAGTCTTACTTTAACAGTTTGCTTTTGGCACACATTTTTTTTTATTTCCAGTTTAAATTTCTATAGAACAAAATATAAACGAATTCGTATTTCATTCCAAATAATTTTTGTATTTATTCATAGCACTTTTACCACGAGAGAAACGAGATGAGACGAGAGAAAGGTACTCTCGAGCGAGAAAAGAGTATTCTCGACGAGACGAGAGACCAATTTTCTCTCGCTGCACGAGACGAGACGAGAGAAGGACTTTTCTCGCCTCGTCTCGTCTCGCGGCATCACTAATAATCATCAAATAATAAAGTTAAAACATTTATATTTTTCATAATTTAAGCCTGATCTTCAAATATCTACACAATAGAGTAAATGTAAGTGATTATTGTATTGTATAGTAAGTATTGTATTGAAACTACTTTTTTAAACCAATATACCTAATATACTTTTACTTTTTATTATACAAGGTGTCCCTAAACTTAGTGGCATAAATTTAGTAGCAGATTAAGCAAGTCAAAATAAGAAGAAAATCTAAATAAATATTTTTCCTAATTACATATGTTTAAAAGATACAGGGTGATACTTATCATATCAGTTTTTTTAATATAACTTCTACTATGGTAGACTTGGAAAGGTGATATTTTGCGAACAGTCACTTACTACCAAAACACATATTCACACATAATTACAATTGTTCGAGTGAACACAGTGTCGAAGAAACAGGGGTTGCTTAAGCTTATTGTCCCATACAAACTTTTAGGTTAGGTTTTTATACCATTTGATGCAATTTTTCGATTACTCAGTTCGGCTACTATTAAAAAGGTGTACCTCTCAAACTTCGATAAAATAAACCGTTTCCGAGATATTCGAGATTACAATAATTGTTATATCGCATTAAAGGACTGAAAGGTATATGATAACAATTTTTTTAATTGAAAAAACTACATTTTTTTTTTAATTTGACGGTTAGGGCAAAAAGTGCCGAGACTCATGGAATGCCCTTTTTAGTTTTTTCAATAAAAAAATAAAATTTGTTATCATATACCTTTTAATCATTATAAATAATGTGATATAACAATTATTGTAATCTCGAATATCTCGGAAACGGTTTATTTTATCGAAGTTTGACAAGTACACCTTTTTAATGGTTGCCGAACTGTATAATCGGAAAATTGCATCAAATGTTATAAAAACCTAACCTCAAAGTTTGTTTGAGACAATAAGCTTAAAGCAACCCCCGTTTCTACGACACTGTGTTTACTCAAACAATTGTAATTATGTGTGAATATGTGTTTTGGTAGTAAGTGATTGTTCGCAAGATACCACCTTTCCAAGACTACCATAGAAGAAGTTATATTAAAAAAAAACTAATATGATAAGTAATACTTTATCACCCTGTATCTTGGAAACATAAGCAATTAATTCCTAATTAGGAAAAATATTTATTTAGGTTTTCGTCCTATTTTGACTTGCTCAATCTTTTTCTAAATTTATGCCAATAAGTTTAGGGACACCTTGTATATTTGGCCTCGAAAGTTTTATTTTACCAACCGATTAGGGGTTATATGAAGGTAAAAACCCCCATTTATCACTCTCCACATTTTTTTAAAAGTATTTTTTTTTTTTATATCTAGCGATTGCCTTAATTACATTTTTTGGGGCCTGATATTTTGGATAGGTAATTGTTTAAACTAATTTTTCGAATACCACATCTTTTTTAATCCGACGTATACGTATATATGTTATGGCTAATGTGCAAACTTGGATAGTTTATAAACTAGCTGGATAGTTTATAAACTAGCCAAACTGTCAGCTATTTTAATTGAAAACATATTTTCAACTAAATTAGCGGCTAGTTTACAAAATAACCAAGGATCTTGGCTAATTTACTTGAAATTATTAGGGAAACTAAAATAGCTGGATAGTTTGTATACTATCCAATTCAGTTTGGCTAATATGAAAACCAAAATTTCTAGTAACACAAAATAGCCAAGCTTTAGCTAGTTTGTAAACTAACCAACTAATTCTCTGGCTATTTTATTAAAAAAGTGAGGTTACGGCATTGTTTTCCGTTTTGCCGGCTTAACCGGATTTGTTTTGTGCATTTAAACGTTTTTAAAATGAATCATAGGCAAAATTTTAACGCTTCCTTGTTAGAAAACTCAACAACACAACCCTACCGACCCCGCCCCATTGGCCCCCCCCCGCCCCATTGGTCAAATGGTCAAAAATAAGAGAAAAAACCCAAACCAACCCAAACTCAACAACACAACCCAACCGACCCCGCCCCATTGGGCCCCCCCCCGCCCCATTGATCAAAAAAACCCAACTAAAATGGGCAATAGCCAGAGAATTAGTTGGTTAGTTTACAAACTAGCTAAAGCTTGGCTATTTTGTGTTACTATAAATTTTGGTTTTCATATTAGCCAAATTGAATTGGATAATATACAAACTATCCAGCTATTTTAGTTTCCCTAATAATTTCAAGTAAATTAGCCAAGATCCTTGGTTATTTTGTAAACTAGCCGCTAATTTAGTTGAAAATACATTTTCAATTAAAATAGCTGACAGTTTGGCTAGTTTATAAACTATCCAGGTAGTTTATAAACTATCCAAGTTTGCACATTAGCCGTAACATATGTACTCCAAAAACGCTATTCGCGTTTACAGTCGACATTTATCAAAAATGATTTATGTGTATGTCGAGGGAGGAGCTCAAAAGTATTTGCATTTTATCTCAAAATGTTGATTTTGAAAGCGAATAATCATAACAAATATAAACATTTTATGATCTGACGCACTAGCGAGCAGAAAAGAAAATTTGTCAATTAAGAAATTGCAAATAATTTTAGAAATAAAATTAATCAGGGAACCATTGATCTAGTAGGCGGTGAATCAGCCTAACTAACCAGATAGATAGATGATCGGTTTTTGGTGTTCGCAAGCTTGCGGAATAGAACAGCTTCCGCTGTTTTGCTGCATGCAAAATCAACTTCAAAAGGTTAGAAATGTTAATGTTAGCGAATGGACCGTTAGAAGAAGGCTCCGTGCTATAGCATTATAATGGATTGTCTTGTAGAAGAATGGCTACAGGGCCAATATTGCACCGATGGCATTGAATTGCAAGATTGGCTTTTGCTCAAAATGATTTAGTTTTAATGTTTTCAGATGAGTCCCGTTTTCGCCGTAATGGATCAGACCTCCTTTCGTTAAGCAGTTATTCATAATGGATTTATTAACAGTAGAAGAAAAAATAAAAATGATTTTGATTTATGGAGAAGCAGGCAGGAATCTTGATGATGCTTTTAATATCTACGCTCAGCATTTTCCGAAAAAAAATCGATCACGTACTTCATTTCACCGTTTACTACAAACGGGAGTGTTCAACCGTCGAGCAACAGTCACATGTATTAGCAGCGGCCGCTAATCTTCATGCCAGCACACGAGAATTATCTATTAAAACGAAATAAATAAATTAAAAAAATAAAACCAAGTATTTTATTCAAAAATTATTTTTTTTCATTACAGCGCCATCTATTAAAAATATGAAAAAATGTTTTAGACAAAATCTACCTATTTTAAGTCGAAGGATCCGAATCTGCAATAAGAAATAGGGTGTTCCATAGGAAAGTTAACTTATTACCCCCTGTTCTCCCTATAAGGAGGAGTGTATGAGGACCAATTTTAGTACTGATTGATTTCCCCCCTCGAATCATTTAATTTTTATTTTAAACTTTTTTTGTAAAATGAATACTAAATGAGATATTTCAAATATGAGAGACCTTTATTTTTTATATTTTTGATCATATTAGTTTACGTACTAAATCCGTAGGATATAAATTTGTATAAATACCTTTTTTAATTGCATTGAAATAACATATGTAATATGTTATTTATATTATTTTATTATTTTTTTCTGTTAATATTTTAAACGTCATAAAAATTTCCTTGTAAAAATAACTGCCCGATACCAACAAAAAACAAACCCAAGTTGTTTTGGGACTAAAAAATATTTGGTTTTGTTATTTACCTATTATCTTATCGTTATTGGATTAAATTGGAATTGGTTGTTATGACGAAAAAGTTGTCCTTCAAGCGAGTTTAAGATATTAAATTTAAAACATTTTTAGGTGTATTTTGTGTGAAAATAAAATATTCAACAGGTACAACTCGACGATTGTATGTAAATTATATGCGTGTAGTGAGTGATTTCGTACCTGTGTTAAATGTGGCATCTCATGTAGGGCAAGGGAATAGTACGAAATAAGATCCACTCCTCGAATGACCCTCAAATTGGGCATGATGGTCCCAACCGAAAGCAGATGAAACACTTTGTAGAGCACCAGGTACCCGGTGATCTCCGTGAGATCGGGAAAAACGTACTTTTCGTACTCAGCGGGGCTTTTAACTTTCTCCAAGAGCACAATACTAAGATTTCCAGTCACTGCCGTGCAGTTCTTCAGTTTGTTGAGTTGGACGATGTCGTTGCGAATGTCCAGCGTGGGGCATATTTTCGATTGCACTACACAAACACACAAAAACACTGCCACTAACAATAATTTTGTCGTCGGGTTTTCGTTTCGTCTTGAATACATGCTTAAGCCGGCCGTGTTTAATAGTCATTTCAGCACCGACGACCGCGTGTAACTGAGCAACAATTTCGATGAGAATGTGTAACGAGGCGGGCACCGCGTGCGCCGGAGACTGTTTTTTCGAAGATAGCCGCCGTCGCACGCCGACACACGTGGCGAGGTTTTTGGCGCCCAGTTGTCAAAGTAATTTACTGCCACGCCTGATCTCAAAACAATAATATTTAACAGGAGTTAAAAGACTTAATGATTTATAGAAATAAATTTTCTGGCCGTAAGAATTTTTTTACTTCTTAATAAACACATTTTGATATACATATGTAGGTATTTAAAATAAATCCTTTAATTTATCGACAAATTTATAATTATATTTAAAAAATCCAAATATTACAGATTTTATACGATATACATATATATATACAGGGTGTATCACGGTCGATGGTAGGTTAGACGTTTATGGAGAACGGCAAAAGATATCGAATTGAAATTTTTATAGCAATTATAATATCATTTAAACTATTTTTCTAAATTATTTTGAACAAAATTCCTTTTCCGGTTTTAACGGAAGCGATATCAACTTTGTTATTTTAAATGGATCACTACATTTTTTTTTACAATTTCAAAATCCTACCATCATTCCTTATAAAATGGCTACATCATGTCCTATAGGTACCTAAACTTAATACTTTTTGAGTTATTAATTTTTCTTGTAAAATTTGGTCAATTTCACCCTCAACAAAAAAAGCTTATAACTTTTTTAATATAAGGTTTGTTGATATTCGGTTGGATTTATTGAAATCCTAAAGCACTGTTTTAAAGATTCCATGTAAATTATTGTAATATTTCTAAAAAGATACTAGTAAAAAAACAATGTGAATGTAGCTAACTTAAAACAGCAATAACTTTTTTATTCTCAATGGAACGCCCTGTATATTTTTACATAATTAAATATGAAATTATAATACCTTTTCATTGATATAACTATTTCCTATACCTAAAGTTAATATTAAGAAAGATATTTTACAATTAACCTAATAATGAGGAAAAACTAAAAAAATGTTGCTTATGTGTATTAATTCGGTATGAATTACAAAACTTTCCTGATATTTATTATTATTAAAATAAAGGAAAATAACTACTCAAAAGAAGTTGAAAATATTTATGCTTAATGGATAACCAAATTAAAGGTACAACATACAAAAAGTTTCTGCATTTTCTATCAATAAATTTGTCATATTGTCAATGAAGAATAAACAAGTTCATAAAAACTTCATTTGAATAGTGATTTTCCTCCATTTTAACTATTTTATTAACAATTTTTGTTAATTTAAAACATTACTTTTATTTAATTAATGTATTTTTAACCTTATTAGTAAATAATATATCTTTTAATGAAGATTCTATATCTCAAAAACTGTCCTACTTTTTTAACTTTTGGATTCAGGGGACAATTTTACATAATTATTTAAGAATTGACTGTTAAATTTTGGGATACCATGGTATACCATGGTTAACCATGGTACAAGTGAAAAAGCAGCCACTAATAACTATTAAATTAGTCATTTTTGACTAATTCAATAGTTAGTGCTTTTATTTACAAAGACCGAAAAAAATATTGTTCTTATGAATATTATTTTTTGTCATATGATTTTTGAAACTCATTCGTAGATTCCACTTGTATTGTTTATTAATTTAAAACTAATATTTAAAAATTTAAACTACATAATAAATAGTAGGAATTGTAAAATATCTTTGTTATTCTTAACTTTAGGTATAGGGAATAGTTATACCAATGAAAAGGTATTATAATTTTATATTTAATTATGTAAAAATATACAGGGCGTTCCATAGAAAATAAAAAAGTTATTGTTGTTTTAAGTTAGCTACATTCACATTGTTTTTTATCAAGTAGGTATATTTTTAAAAATATTAAAATAAATTACATGGAATCTTTAAAAGAATTCTTCAGGATTCCAATAAATCCAACCGAATATCAGCAAACCTAATAATAAAAAAGTTATAAGCTAGCTCTTTTTGTTGAGGGTGAAACTTACAAAAAAAATTAATAACTCAAAAACTATTAAGTTTAGGAATAGGACATGGTATAGCCATTTTACAAGGAATGATGGTAGGAATTTAGAAATGTAAAAAAAATTGTGATGATCCATTTAAAATAACAAAGTTGATGTCGCTTCCGTTAAAACCGGAAGAGGAATTTTGTTCAAAATAATTTAGAAAAATAGTTTAATTAATATTATAATTGCTATAAAAATTTCAATTCGAAATCTTTTGCCGTTCTCCATAAACGTCTAACCTACCATCGAGCGTGATACACCCTGTATATACATTATTTATTTTTGTTATTAGATATGTATGTATACATGTATATATGTATATATGTATGTATACATATATATATATATTTTTGTTGAAATAAAAAATATTTAAAATGGTATAAAATCTGTAATATTTGGATTTTTTAAATAAAATTTTAAATTTGTGGATAAATTATAGTAGATTATAAATTGCACCACTTTGAATTATTTCAAATATGGGGACCAGGAGGCGGGTGAGGCGACATGAAAAACTAACTTTTTTTGAAAACTTCAATTTAAATTCTGTTTGCGCCGAACTTGTCTATTTAATGTCATTATAAACTATTATAAATTTGGTGTGGGTTCAATCTCTAATAACTGAGATATTGGTATACCCAAAATCCACCAGCTACCCCTGTCCGAAATACAAATTGCTGTTGACGAGAATTATTAGTGTCTGATTTTTCGCTATGACATATAGGTAGTCATTTTTGACTAATTAATTTTTAGTGAGTAGATGAACTTACATTAGGGTGGAGCGAAAAAAATTTTTTTTTCCTTAGCCTGGGGGTGGAATTTGTAGCAGGCTATAAAAAAAGAAAATTTAAAATAAAAAATTTTATTTACCCAACGTCTTGAGGTGGCCTACTTTAAATTAAATTTAAGTTAAAATTCTTTTAAATAAAAAAAAAAAAATTTGGCTTGTAATCTTCAAATTTATCTAAAAATAAACAAATTTGATCGTGTTCAACTCGAAATTCGCTCTATTGCCTCAGAAAAGCATGTTACTATTTTGAATTTTTTTTAAAAAACAACAATAATGACCACAAAATTTTTTTTTAGTTCATAACTGTTAATTAGCAAGAAAGAGGACACGCAGTTTCCGGAACACTTTGGAAATTTTTTTTTATTCAAAAGAATTTTAAATTTAATTTAAAAAATCAGTGGGCCACCTCAAGACGTTGAGAAAAAAATTTTGTTTTTTTCAAAAATTTTCTTTTTTTATAGGCTACAAATTCCACCCCCAGGCTAAGGAAAAAAAAATTTTTTTCGCTCCACCCTAACTTACACCCACAGCTTTCTTGCTAATACCTGCTATACCATTAACTTAACTAACTTAGTGCGCAATTTTCGGGACACCCTGTACAAATTGCTTATAAAAATTAATTTTGATGAAATTTGGAATGAAGATAGCTTCACATCGAGGAACGAAAATTGTAGGTGGAAGGGGCACATTTTCAGTTTTAGTAAGCTTTTTGGGCGTGTGATGGTTTAAACAAAATTTCACTCGGTATAGATTTTCTTGATTGCAACCAGGAGTGAATATATATTAAGGGGAGTTTATAGAAGCGTTTTTCCCACCGTAAAATTTGTAAAATTGTAATTTAATTTGGTAAATATTATTTTGTGAGGTGAAAAAATTAAAGGAAAAATTTGGTTGACTTATTAGGCACTTCAATTTAAAAGTAAAAAAATCTTTTTATGATTTTTCTAATTAAGTTTGTTAGTAAATTTTTCTACTCCCACCTTTAAAACGCCCATTCGTACATGTTTCCATTACACTAGTTATGCCATTGTATAAAATTAAATTAAGTAACAACATTTTTTATACATATAACGTCTTGAGGTGGCCCACTGATTTTTTTTTAATTAAATTTAAGTTAAAATTCTTTTGAATAAAAAAAAATTTTTTTGGCTTGTAATCTTCAAATTTATCTAAAAATAAACAAATTTGATCGTGTTCAACTCGAAATTCGCTCTATTGCCTCAGAAAAGCATGTTACTATTTTGGTTTTTTTTTTTAAACAACAATAATGACCACAAACATTTTTTTAAGTTCATAACTGTTAATTAGCAAGAAAGAGGACACTCCGCAGTTTCCGGAACACTTTTGAAAAAAAAATGTATTCAAAAGAATTTTAACTTAAGTTTAATTTAAAAAATCAATGGGCCACCACAAGACGTTGAGTAAAAAATTTTTTGTTTCAAAAATTTTTTTTTATAGGCTACAAATTCCACCCCCAGGCTAAGGAAAAAAAAATTTTTTTTTCGCTCCACCCTAACTTACACCCACAGCTTTCTTGCTAATACCTGCTATACCATTAACTTAACTAACTTAGTGCGCAATTTTCGGGACACCCTGTACAAATTCCTTATAAAAATTAATTTTGATGAAATTTGGAATGAAGATAGCTTGACATCCAGGAACGAAAATTGTAGGTGGAAGGGGCACATTTTCAGTTTTAGTCAGCTTGTTGGGCGTGTGATGGTTTAAACAAAATTTCACTCGGTATAGATTTTCTTGATTGCAACCAGGAGTGAATATACGAATATACGTATAATAAGGGGAGTTTATAGAAGCGTAATTTGGTAAATATTATTTTGTGAGGTGAAAAAATTAAAGGAAAAATTTGGTTGACTTATTAGGCACTTCAATTTAAAAGTAACAAAAATCTTTTTATGATTTTTCTTAATAAAGTTTGTTAGTAAATTTTTCTACTCCCACCTTTAAAACTCACATTCGTACATGTTTCCATTACACTAGTTATGCCATTGTATAAAATTAAATTAAGTAACAACATTTTTTATACATACACAACTTCTATTTACCTTGAAAGATTTATATTTTTGCCATAGAGGTGTTTGTATTTTAAAACTTAAATAACAAAAATAAGCTTATTAAAAAAAAAT